TTTGCAGCAATTATTAATAATATATTTTTTATTTCAATCTATGAATAATGCAAAAGTTTCCTGCTGAGCCATGGCTACTAAATTTTCATCTACCTAACTAAAGTCACTATTTTTTTCTGACTAGTGTGGAATGTTATAGTCTTATACTTAGAAGGTAAATGAATTAAATTGGGTTTATTAAAAAATGTGCTTCAACACATGTCATCAGGTTCATGAGTGCTAATTACTTTTTTAAGAGGACAGTTTAAGGATAACAAAGAATTACTTGTCCCATTACTAATAAAACATGCCCACATCGTGCTAAATTTCAACATTTTTACTTTGTTTTGAGATAACCAGAGATATATCTAAAGGAACAACATATTTCAAGTTTTCTTTTTATCTCATTTCAAAGTGTTGTAACTGCACTTAGAATTATCTTGCTTTCATGAAAATGGAGCTACATTTTTGTCTTTATGCAGCACTCTGTGTACTCTGGCTTAACCTTTCTTGCTATTGCTTCAAAGCAACTTGTAAGATAGCATTACTCATGAATCCTCCTACTTAGTTATTTTCGCAAAACATCATCTTATTAATTAAATCATTAATTTTGATAATATGTTTTCTTTGTTAGATTGTTGCATTAGTGACAAAAAGAAAAGTAGTTCCCATGTTTCATTCCTGAAATAATATAAGCAGATTTGTCTTTAATAAACAGCAGTTTATTAGAGTGTACAGCAAACCTCCCACACTAAGTATCATTTTAGCACAATTTTAGCAGTGATTTCAGTTTGTATTTTGACAGTATTTTTTGACAAAAGAATGTCTTTTTAGTTTACTGCTATGTTATCTGTACTATTTTAAGCCGCTTCTACCAAATGTTTCCCTAATATCACAGTTCCTTTTGTCTCTTGGTATTAAAGAAAGAACAATTCTAGAGGACTATAAACATTTACACATTTCTATAAGTTCCTGATTTTTTGTTTTTATTTTTGGGCCACATTCAACAGTGCTCATGGGTTATTTCTGGCTTCTGCTGGGCTCTGGGGACCATATGGAGTGCTGGTGGACCAAGCCTGGGTGGACTGTATACAAAATAAACACCCTATCCGCTGTATGGTTGCTCTGGTCCCTAAGTTGCTGATTTTAGTATCACATAGTTCTATTACTACTGAGAAAATTAAATAAGCCTTCTTTACTCAGAGCACAGTGTTGTGGCCCCCAAACAAAATTAGTTAGTCTAGCATTTTATTTACTTCTTTACTCTGGAGGGTTTTTTTTTTTCCCTTTTTGGGTCACACCTGGCAATGCACAGGGGTTACTACTGGCTCTGCACTCAGGAATTACTATTGGCGGTGCTCAGGGGACCACATGGGATGCTGGGAATCGAACCCAGGTTGGTGGCATGGACGGCAAACACGCTACCTGCTGTGCTGTAGCTTCTTCCCCAGCTTGTTTGGTTTCATTTTTGTAGCGTTGGTGATTGTATCAAGGCCTCACACATGCAAAATATGTACTTTACCACTGAGCCACAATTGTGGACCTGATATATTTTTCTTTTTAAATAATTTGAGGTGACTTTCATCCAGGGTTCTTCAGCTTTTTCCACCCACAACTCCTTTTATCCTAAGAAATGTTGCATGGGTGAGCACTGTTAGCAATACCTTGGATCTGTTATGCAGTTGATTTTGACTTATGTTTTGGTCATTGCATAATCAGGAAAGTTTAATTGTTGCCAATTTGTGGGCAAATCCTACATTCAACTATGTGGCCTCCTATGGGCTTTTATATATCACTAGCTGAAACTATCATTTACAATTGATATGCCTCATTATTTTATATATGTGCTTTAATAATTTATATTTAATAAGTTAATAAAACTTATAAGTGATATATACTTTAATAATCAAATTATGAAGCATCGGATACTTTTAGCAATAGATTATTGTTATTTTTGTATGTGATTTTTAAAATGATGAGAGAAACAGGTTTATGAGAAGGTGATATAAAAGCTGGATGTTATAGGGGATAGGATGCAGAGCTAGGAGTAAACCCTGAGCACAGTTTGTGTGGCCCCCAAACAAAACAAATTAGTCTGGCATTTTCTTTTTGTGTTTGCATTACAGCTATTATCCTCAATGATGTCTTTACAAAATAATTTTGAAAACACATTTTAAAAAGAATCTTTTCCTTTGTTGTGGGGCTGTACCCGGTGGTGTTCAGTGCTCAGGGATCACTCCTTGCAGGCTTATGAGGTATTTAGAATTGAATCCAGGTTGGCTGTGTGCTAGGTCGGGAGCATTAACATTATACTTGTAGTACTCCGACTCCTGAAGCCTGTTTTTTGGGTTTTCTTTTTGTTTTTGGCTCACACCTGGCCTGTACTCAGGGATTGCTCATGGGTCTACATTCAGGTATATTACTCCTTGCATTGCTGCATTGCTTTGGGGAGACCATTTGAGGTGCTGGGGATCGAATCCAGGTTGGGTGCTAAATTATCTCTCAAGTTCCTGAAGCCACTTTTTATCTTTTTGGTTTAATAAGCACTGATTTAATTAGAACTACGTTGAAATACCTGTGCACCTGTTTAATTATGTACATGTGAACTGTATGTTGAAGTAAACTGAGAGTGAATAAATATAGAATATAAATATTTAGTGTGAGAATGGGGGAATATTTCAAAGGCTCTTTCCCTCATCCTTCTGTTGGACATACAAATCCATGTCACATATGAAAATTTACTTTCCTGAGTTTTTTTTTAATTTAAAAAAATTTTTTTATGTAGGAGTACTGCGATTTATTCAGCCACTGATTAGCTGATTGAATTGGACATGAACTCCATCTTACTTTTTTATAATTTTATTTATTATTTTTTCTTATATTTATTTATTGAATCACTGTGGGAAAAGTTACTAAGCTTTCAGGTTTAAGTCTCGGTCACACAATGATCAAACACCTCTCCCTTCACCAGTACTCATTTTTCACCACCAAAAAGCCAAATATACCCACCTCCCACCCCTCCCAATGCCTGTGAGGCAGATGATTTCCACTTAACTATTCTCTCCATGGGCTGGAGCAATAGCACAGCTGTAGGGCGCTTGCCTTGCACGCAGCCAACATGGCCGACCTGAGTTCGATTCCTCCTCCCTTCTCGGAGAGCCTGGCAAGCTACCGAGAGTATCTCACCCGCACGGCACAGCCTGGCAAGCTATCTGTGATGTATTTGATATGCCAAACACAGTAACAATAAATTCTCCAATGGAGACATTACTGGGCCTGCTCGAGCAAATCAATGAGCAACGGGAGGACCATGACCATGATTCTCTACATTGATTACATTCATTATTTCAACAAAAGATGCACCATTATTGTTTAGAACTTCCCCCCAACAATCATAATTGCTGAAAAGGCATTGTGAAATACTTGGTTTTCTATAGCTGGTTATGAGAATCATATAATCTCGCATGGTCACAATAGCGGCCTCACGATTTTGGATTTCTGCAAAGAGCCAGATAATTACAAGATTGGTTTCTGTGCATCTGGTGTTATGGCTGTGCCAGAGAGCCGCTCCTGGGGGGCAACTCATGACCTCGGTAGGGCACGAAGGATGAGCCGGAAAAATATGGAATGCTTCACGAATTTGTGTGTCATCCTTGCACAGGGGCCATGCTAATCTTCTCTGTATCGTTCCAATTTTAGTATATGTGCTGCTGAAGCGAGCACTTTCCTGAGTTTTAAGTAAAATTTTTTTCAGCTGCAGTTAGATCCTGTGGACTCTGGAAATCACTGGATGAATACAGAACCCATGATTAAGTATCAAATAAAAGTAAAACTGTTTAGTTCCTAATGTCTAAATATATGGTCTGAATTTTTTCTTCTGAGGTGTATATAGATATTCAAAGTTGAATTGCTCCAGCAAAATCTCAAAATAGAAATAGATGAAACATAATAGATAACAAGACTAGTTAAAATAATTTTATTAAATAGGTTAAGTAGATGAATGGAAGAGTTTTTGTACCATAGTCAATAACTTTTACTTAATAAGCTGTTCTTGAGTCTGTGCTCATCATACTTATAATGCCATTGAAAGTCTGTGTTATGTGACAGCTGTCTATATATAGTTAATTAGATCTTTGGAAAATATGAAGCAGTTAATTAATTCAGGCAGAATTGATCAATTGTTTCATTGTGTAGAAAATCCCCGATTAGTTCAATTAGAATTATAGTGGGAGACATTCCGTCCTTTCTTGTCTGCAGGAGCTAGAGAATTTATGGAGCTTATCTTTAGGAAATAATAAACAAAGGCTTACAAATTCATGAATTCATAATCTTAAATAATCCAGTATAGCTATTAACTATCCATGCTAGAATCTGTTTTTAGAATATCATTGATTCATTCTGTTTAGGTGTTTGTCAAAGAATATCTGGATAATTCTTTAATAGGTTATTAAAGAATATCTGAATAATTTCTATCAAAAGTAGGCAAATGTTTGCTGGCAAAGTTAAATTTGGATTTTAAAAGTTAATTGGAAAATAAGTCTTTAAAATGGGATTAAGACATGTTGCTGAAACAGGTATTTTATATAAAATAAATAAAATTTATTGAAAATTGGTAGTAGAAGGACCAGTATTGTTTTTTGGGAAAGGAAGAGATGAAAAAAATGTAAAATGTTGTTTTACTTCATGAAAAAAGAAACATAATGAAATAAGTGTGAAAATAAAAGTTTTAGAAGCTAATTGAAAATTATATTTTCATATTTTGACATTTGTGGTATCAAAAACAATAAAACCAATAAAAATAAAAATTTTATACTGCTTAGCATCAACAGGGGACCACATCAGATGCCGGGTATTGAACCCAGTTCTGTGGTGTACATGCAAGCATGATAAACTCTGTATTATGTCTATAACCCCATGAGTTAATTATTTCAAGACAGAGAATATTAGTATATTAATTACTTTTGAAACTCTTAAGCAGACATTTGTCAGTTCTCACTATAAGTGTTCTTTCAAAATAACAGGAGGACATGAACCTTAATGAAGAACGGAAAGCGCCTCTACGAAACAAAGATTTTACCACCAAGCGTGAGATGGTTGGACAGTATATTTCTGCTACTTCCAAGTCGGTAAGTAGTGATAACTGCCCAGCACCAACACAAAATAATGTAACATCGTATATCTTCAGTTTCTTGATTCAGTTTACTCATATAGACAATTTATAGTTATGCATTAATTTTTACATAGTATTTATTTTAAAACTTTGTAATTGAACTTTCATAAAAATTAAACATTATTTTAAACAAAACTGACTAAGGATCAAAGGCTCTGAGTTCATACAGTGAGTCTGGGGAAGGGATTTGTGCATTTACTAAAAATTGATAGAAAATTTCAGGTATTCCATGTTTTTGAATGAAATTTTGAATTTTGAGCAAGAAGGCACAAACATTACAGTTATAGCTTTAAATTTACATTAAAGTTTTATCTAATTTATGCTTTAAAGTTTAATTTTAATATGCTATATACTTTTGTTATTTATTCTTTAATTGTGCTAAGTATATGAACTGCTTCATAATTACAATTGTAGCTTAATATTAAGGAGAATGCGTGAATCAAAATTGTGTGTTTCAAATGACTTGAAAGTAGTATTTGAAAAGACTTGTCATCATCAGTCTTTGAAAAGACCTGTTATCAGTAGTCTAATGGAATATTTTGTTTTCTTTACTTCATAAGGTACATCTGTAGTCTCATATTTGCCTTTTTAATGAGATAAACGTATCTTTATTTGGGGTTTGGGCCACACTGTCAGTGCTCAGTGCTTACTCCCAGCTCTGCACTCAGGGATCACTCCTGGCAGGCACAGGGGAACATATGGGTGCCATGACTCGAACATGGGTTCGCCACATGAAAGATACCCTACACACTATAGTGCCACTCAGGTCCTGAGAAATGTATTTTTTGATTGATGCATATTTCATAACATATTTCATAAATGTAACTTTTGTGGAAAGAGAAATCTTTGCACATCTGGATATTATAACATCACTGAATGTATATGTGTGTGTCTGTATACACAAAGATATAGATATGTTTAGTTAAAAATGTATGTATACAGTGATTTTATGTTGTGATATATGTTCATGTAGGACATATTTATAACATATATATTTTTATAATTAAATTTACAAACTGCTTTTTAAATAAAAAGGAACATATCTAAAATAGTGTTAATGTTTAATATTTTGAAGTACAAAGTTACAGACCTTGCACGAGCACCACATTGCCAAAGACCCTCTACCTCTCATATCACTGTTGTCCATCCCCACATCAACTACCCTCTTACCCATACTTAGAAGTTCAGAGTTTTTTTTAAATTTGTTTTTTCTCATTCTCTTGCCTTGTCCACCTTATATACCATATATGAGTAAGATGATATGACATTTGTCTTTTAAAATTTTTTTTTCTTTTTGGGTCACACCCGGCGATGCTCAGGGGTTACTCCTGCCTCTACATTCAGGAATCACTCCTGGTGGTGCTCAGGTGACCATATAGGATGCTGGGAATCGAACCCGGATTGGCCACGTGCAAGGCAAATGCCCTACCCGCTGTGGTATTGCTCCAGCCCAACATTTGTCTTTTACCCTCTGACTTAATTTGCTTAACATGACCTCCATGTTAAGTTGATCTTGCAGAAGGCAAGATTTCATTCCATTTTAGAGCCATAAAAAAGGTTTTTATCACAGGTTTTTATCCAGTCATCTGTTGTTGGGCATTTGTTTCTTCTTTATCCTTGCTGTTGTAAACAGTGCTTCAATGAACATAGATGTATATCTGTTTGAATTAACGTTTTTGTTCACTTGGTATAGATGCCAAGTAGTGGAATTGCTGAGAGTTCTACTTTTAATGTTTTGAGACATCCTTTACTGTTTTACATAGAGTCCAAAGAAGGTGGCATTCCTTGCAAAAGTGAATGAGTGTTCCTCTTTGACCTTATCCCTGACAACACTGCTTCTGTATTTTTTTAATTGAATCACTGTGAGAAGCATAGTTACAAAACTGTTCATGAATAGGTTTCAGCATTTCTATATTTTTTAATATAGGCTGTATTCATTAGTAATTGTTTCTGATCTTACGAAATAGGTAATTCTCTTTGGTGTAAGATGATAGCTTATTGTCATACTTATTTGCATTTTTCTACTAATAAGTCACTGTCACTGTCCTCCCATTGTTTATCGATTTCCTCGAGCAGGCCCAGTAACATCTCCATTGGAGACTAAAACATTTTATATTAGAAAAGTAATGTTTTTAAATTATAAAAATATATTCTAAAATTATTTGGTTATTCTAGTAATTGTTTTTCAGTATACTGATTGCTGTGGAATTTATTGAGGCATTTTATTTCCAATTATACAATTGTATATCATATATTTTAAGAAGCAAATTCTAAGTGCTGCCTGCTCGAGCAAATCGACGATCAACCTTTACCTTTTAATCTATTTAAATATAACCTATTAAAGCTCTGCAGAAGTAGAGAGGTAGAATGATTTTTAATTGGCTTCTGTTATCTAAGAGCAAAATATGTTTTGAGTGGTATGTAAAATTTTCTATGGCATTGTTTTTGATGAAATCAGGTGTTGCTGAGGGTTCCACTTTCAATTTTTGACAAATCTGTTCTCACTTTTGTATTTGCTATTAAAATGCTTTAGGAATGCAAGATGCATGTTGAGTTTTTCTTGAATACCTAAAAGCAAGTATAGTAGTAATTCTATATAATTAAATCTGCACAGAGAGTAAAGATAGTGATATATAAATAACCATTTGTTTTTAATGTTAGGAATTTGCTAATGTCTCTCCTCATGTTTTGTTTTTGTTGCTTGTGTAAATGGGGCTGAACATAATTGTTTTAAGCTCTTTATATTTTGAATTTATCTTTGTGTGGACCTTGCTTTCATTTATTCTCATGTTGTTCTCTCTGAAGCAACTAACCAAAGAAATACAAACTATAAATTATTGGCTCATTTTTCAGATTTGCTATGAATCGGGTAAATGTTGGATGAACTCTCATGAATTGCTGTTTGCTAGATGGATAGTAAATGCTTTGAAACATACATAAGAATTCTTTAAGACATGTGAGAAACTGACATGAGCACTTGACTTACATCTTATTTGCTGATATTTTTCATGGCCCCAATATTATGATGAAAGAAAGTCTGTTGATAAGCAGGTGTTAAAGCTATTTTCACAATGGGGCTAATTTATTGTTAGTGTTTTCTGATAAGCACTGTCGCAAAGTAGCACTGTCCTCCCATTATTCATCGATTTGCTCGAGTGGACCCAGTAATGTCTCCTTTGTAAGACTTGTTGTTACTGTGTTTGGCATATTGAATACATCATGGATAGCTTGCCAGGCTTTGCCGTGCGGGCGGGATACTCTCGATAGCTTGCCAGGCTCTCCAAGAGGGGCGGAGGAATCGAACCCGGGTCTGCCGGGTCGGCTACGTGCAAGGCAAACACCCTACCCACTGGGCTATTGCTCCAGCCCGTTTTCTGATAAAACAAAGAAAATTGTGCACATCATTTTCTTTTGATGGTCAAGAGAGTTACTTTTAAGTGACAAACTTGCCTTTTATCTTTTGATCTCTTTATGATAATGAAATAAAATTTATATAAATTATAAGCTAGTAAGTGGATGTTCAAACCCAGGTTTCCTTTTGTTTTTCATTAGATTTTAGATATTTGTTGCTTGTCATGAAGTTTTTCTCATCATGCTGATTTGTTGATTGAAAGTGTTTTCTTATTTAAAAGTGCATATCATTGCTTTTCTTCATGAAAATTCTCTGTAAATAGGCAAATTTCAAGTTTCATCTTAGAGTAAATATTTAAGGACTAGGGATGTAGTCATGTGTAAAACATGTGAATTATAGGTAAATATGTTTTGTATGCTTTCCCGTCTAACACTTGTATTAGTCATTTTGACTGGAATAAGAAAAAGAAATAACATGAGCTCAGTAAGAAATGTTCTTCATTTTTCTGGGCTTGCTAAGTAAGGATATTAAACCAGCATGAAATTGTATACAGGTGTGCATTCAGAATGTGTTTCTAAAGCAAGCAAGATTCTTTGCTTGTGTAACTGACTTTGTAAAAAATAGTTTAGGCAATGGAATACAAAGGAATTAAAAAAATGATGCAAGTATTATTTAGTGTTTTTCTATTCTGTAAGTTATGTGAATGTGAAAAGAAAAGGAAGATGGTACTACTTTGTCAGTGATGAAGAAAATTTAAATAAAGGGAGTTGAGAAGTATGTCTTTTCTGAAGAGGCTATACTCATTTGCTCATTATTGGAAGTGTATTTATAGACCTGATTTATGGTAGGTTTTTGTACATTTGGTATAACTTGGGCAAGCATTATTTAGAAGTCTGTTTTCAAAACATCAGCATGTAATTTCAAAAATAGAATAACACTCTTTTTAGTATTGCAAACCCTGTCATACCATTCTATTATCTTAAAATAATAATAATATCCTAGCATATACATACACTCCAGAAAAAATTGATAACTTAAACCCTGATATTAGATTGTCTAATGAGTGTGCATTTGACATTGAATATTAGTAAACAATGTAGTTTCTAATTAAACTCACAATTTTATAAGAAAATAATTATTTTTTCATAATTATCAATTTTCAAATTGGTGAGAGAACATTATTTTAGAAATATATGTGTGTGTTTATCATTTTTAGGGGAAAATGTTACCATGCCATGCCATTACCAAACTGCTAATAACTTTCCACCACACCCTAAAGGACACTTTTCTTTTGCTTTTCTTCACATAAAATAACTGCTTTCTGTTGTCTGGGTCTTAGGGTTTTTTTTCATTGAACATTTTCTCATTCCCTTGCTTTGTTCATTTTATGTTCCCCATATGAATGAGATTTTCTGCTATTTGTCTTTCTACTGATGTAGTCTACTTAGCACAACATCCTCCATGATTTATTTGACATATTTTATTGATTTGATTCTAACATCTAAGCTTTCATTCCATTTAGAGTTAATGTTCGTGCATGGAGTGGGTTAAATTAAAAACTTTTCCACGTGGATAACCAGATTTCTGCTCACTCTGTTCCCTCTACTACCCCTCCCTCTCTCCCCTCTCCCCTTCTATCCCATCCTCTGTTCTTTCCACAGCCACCAGAAGTTCTCAGGGCTTACTCCTAGTTCTTTGCTTAGGGATCACTCCTGGAGGTGCCAGGGATTGGATCTGGGTTGTTTGTGTGCAAGGCAAGCACCTGACCTGCTGTGCTCTATCTCCTGCCCAGTCACTTCTTTCTTTTTTGTGTTTGTGTGGTTGTTTATTTCTTGAACCATTTTTTTTTTTGCTTTTTTTGGGTCACACCTGGCAATGCACAGGGGTTACTCCTGGCTCATACACTCAGGAATTACTCCTGGCGGTGCTCAGGGGACCATATGGGATGCTGGGAATCGAACCCTGGGTTGGCCGCGTGCAAGGCAAACACCCTACCCGCTGTACTATTACTCTCGCCCCTCTTGAACCATTTTTTGAGAGGCATTTCTTCTTACATCCTGTGCTCTTGGTTCCTTTGTGATATAACTGTCCATTTATGTGATGTTTATCTTTGGTCTCTCAGTTCTGATCTGTTAGTCTCAGTGCTTTACCTTTTGTACTAAGTGCGTGATGTAACATGTAGTCTAAAATAACTAAGTTTTAACTTTTATACTAAGAAGAAAACAGTATTTGTAATACATTTATTTTCTTCCATCCACTTACTAACTGGGCCCCACCCTGCTTAGCTTCTGAGATCAGATGAGATCAGTCACATTCAGGGAGGTACGGTCATAGACAGGAATATATTATTTTTCATTGATTTTTTTTCTGTAATCTCTGAGCTTGAGTTTAGCTGATGCCTGACTATACTCAATCCTGTATTGCATGGTAAATACAAGTGGTATAGAAATCTGTTTCAGTACATTTAAAAAAATCCTCAAATGCTTAATAATATCATTTCTGAATTCTTATTTGTGAATTCTGCAGCCTTTTCATATCTTTGAGATATAATAGAAATACATTATGAAATTAGTAATTATTTAAGACTCTAGATTTAAAGTATGAAAAATATATATAAGGTTAACTATTTACTAATTTACTAAACACTTCTGGAGAAAGCTTCTAATTACTAATATTGCTGCTTTTTTCTTTTTACACCATAACCACTCTACGTTGACCACTGTTTGCAGATAGTTGGAAGTAAAGTTATGGTGAGTACAAAAGATGTGTTTTATTCCTAAATGTAAATTTGTTTGGAGAATTTAGAGAGTTCTGCTTTTGATATATTATAGAGTTTGTTCTTCTTTTGGTGTGTATATATCTTACCAAAAACAATGAGATTAACATTAAGATCAAGTGGTTAAAATGTAACTGGTATTTTTTCTGTTGGTTTATTTTTATTATTTAATCTTGTACTTATTACCATTTTTATGATTTTGTTGAAATTGAATGTTTTACTTCTGTTTCTTTAGGGTTACAGAGAGATTTCTAAAATTCTGTTTCATATGTACAGGAATTCTCGCTGAAATATCTACATTGATTTTACTATCACCAAACACAAAATATAATTAAAACAATCTTGCTATATAGTTAGAAGTCATGGGTGCTTCTCTTTTATACTCTGTGGCTTTGGGGAAATTAGGCAGTTTCTCTCTGCTTCCTTTATTAAATGGATAAATTGGTGTGATTCTCCTGTATTATTTTCTAAGGTTCATTCTGTTGCTCTCATTTAAAGGCTTTTTCAGTAAGGAAGTATTTCATTGTTTTCTTAGTATGGTAAACTACACATAATACAATGAAAGTGGCTGGTTTTGTAATTGAGAACTATTTGTCATTACTATGTCTTCATTGATTATCATTCTGTATGTAGAAAACAGGGCAAGAAACAATGTCCTTGGCATCAAATACTGCTGTATTTGAAGAGTTAGTATATTAATAGTCAATGTATTTCATTTAAAATTTCCTTTAAAATAATAGTATGTATTTATAGTGAATGCATTTTACTTTAAACAACTCTTATTACTTTTAAAATTGACTGTTGAAATAAAAGGTGTTTATTGGAAAGGTTCAAAAGTTAAATTGAAGGAGGATTTTGAAGCCTACGTCGGTTCGAGCAAGAATGTGGCCTGAGGAAATCATGGTGGTGAAGGAAAAATAAATTTGATGGTATTAGGTAGAATAATACTAATACTAATTAGGTAGTGTTAGGTAGACTAAGGATTCTCAAATTTGAAAATGTATTAAATGCATGTTGTCCTCTTGCTTATGATTCGTGGGGCTTTATGATGGTGCTGAGAATGCTGCATTTTAATCAAGCAGCTTAGATTTTATTAAAACAGTCTGAGGAGCACATTTTTGAGAAATATACTTGATTAGCATAGAGAGAGAGAAAAAATGGAAGCAAGTACTTGTGATTGAAGTTTTGTCTTCAGGTGTTTGAAATGGAGAAAAAGGAATTCAGGTACACTGTTGGTGGGGAAGTAATTAGTATAGCTGCTTTGGAATACAGCATGGACTTTCTCAAAAAAATTTGATTGAAAATTCCATATGATTCATCATTACCTATCCTAGGCAGAGGTGCACTTTTGGTTGGTGGGATGGCTCTCTAACTTATGTGGTGGGAGTAATGATAATTTTACACAGCTGTGTGAAGCTTAAACGCTTGAGATTCTATAATACTGTGACTCAGAGCGGGAAATGGGAAACTTACCGGTGGACTATCCTTGAGACTTATAATTGAATTGGTGAGGACTTACATTACACTGAAAACTAGCTGCAGGAAGGGAGCAGTAACATAACGGGTGTTTGAGAGATAAAGGAACTATCCACTTGAACTTGTTTTGTTATTATTTTTTGTCTTAAAACCATAACCAATCCAATGTCCTATGCTAGGGTACAGTACACTTATTTTTTTTTTTTTTGCTTTTTTTTGGGGGGGGTCACACCTGGCGATGCTCAGGGGTTACTCCTGGCTCATGCACTCAGGAATCACTCCTGGCGGTGCTCGGGGGACCATATGGGATGCTGGGAATTGAACCTGTGTCAGCCATGTTGGCTGCATGCAAGGCAAACGCCCTACCCGCTGTGCTATCGCTCCAGCCCCAGTACACCTTTTTTTTTTTTTTAGGTACAGTACACTTTTACTCAGACTTCTAAATCTAAATAATGCTCAGCTTTCTCCCCTAATTTTTACTTTAGATTCAGCATTTAACACACTTCTGATTACTGGAAACTCCTAAGGAGTCTGTTTTATGAATACTCTACCTTGTTACTAGAAAGCATGCTTTGTACCCCATGGAAGATTTCACACCTGCTCCTTCCCAGTGAACTCTTCATCTTAGCTGCATTTTTCTGTATGCTTGTTGTCTTTTTATACAGGAACATTTGGCTATTACTTAACATTCTGTTTTTCTAATGCTTTAAAATCAAGATTATTTAATTTCTTTGAGCAAGAATTTCAATATATTTTTACTTTTTTGTTTGTCTAGCAAGCTCTTAAATATCTGTCAATGTTCATGTTAATCTTAGGAGAAGGTGCTGTAGGTAACACTCCTCTTACTATAATAGTAAGCAATGTATTAGATATAAGCGTATCATAGTTTAATATACATAACTAATAGTAATCAATGTATATAATAGTAAGCAATTATAAAGACCAATATATTGCTCTTTATAACATTTATTATATTTGTTATTGTCATTTGTATTTCTCTCTTTCCCATTATATAGAATTCCTGTGCTCAAAAACAAAAAAAAAACAGGTGTAATGGGAAAACACATAAATAAAATAAAGATAGGGCCTAAAGATACTATATAGTAAGTAAAGGTTGCTAAATTAATTCCAGGCCAGCATGCTGCTGTTTAGGGTTCTTGACAGTTTTGTCTTCTTTAAGTGTAATAAATGTCACATGGATAAGTTTTATAAGATAACAAAATATTCACAATATAACATGTTCCATAACAATTGTTTAAAAACATCTATGGCCTGGGACTGGAGCAGTAATACAGAGAGTAGCATGCTTACCTTAATGCGATTGACCTCAATTTAATCCCCGGCGTTCCTCATTGTCCCCTGAGCACTGCCAGGAGTGATTCTTGAGCAACATTGGGTGTGGCCCAAAAAACGAAAACCAAAACGAAAATCTGTCTCTTCCTTGATTTTGTCAATTCTATTGTTAAGGGGTCATTTCATAGCATATCCCCTGAAATACTTTCAGGCCCTTTGAAGTTGAACCAACTGTAATCCTTTTCACTTTCATACTTTAAGATTTTTACTTTAAAGGGCTTATCAAATGGCCTATTATATGAATATGACAACTCCCTTGGCCTCATGAAGTCTTGTTTCTGTCATTATCAGATTTATTTTATATACAAATAGAATGTTTTTCTTTTCCCCCTCAACACTCTTGTCTATTCTCCATTGCTCTTTCATGAAACCTATCCTGTTTCCCACCCCCTTTTCCCCACTTTCTACTTAGTAAACTATCTCAAATTCTACAGCACTTTATTTTTAACTGCTTTGTGAGTTGACTTTCTGTATTTCTTTTATTTTACTTTATTTTATAGTAATAAAAATCTTTAAATAATACTCTCTCCCTTTTTAATATATATTATTTAACCTACAATATAGATCCTCTAAAGGATGAAAATTTCAGTAGTAGTTAATGAGTTTAGGGGGAAATAGATCTGAGTTCAGATTCTGACTGCTTTATGCAATCTTTGTTACTTTATTAAGGATGAGTGCTATTTGGCAGGTTTAATTCTGGACCAAGAATGGTGCTTTGAAGTGAATTGAGAAAGGATGATTCTTGATCTATTTCTAAGACACTATGTGATAGGGATTGCTGCTAAAGAGCATGATTTTTATTTTGCTTTTTGGATCACACCCGACAGTGCACAGGGGTTACTCCTGGCTCTGCACTCAGTAATTACTCCTGGTGGTGCTCAGGGGACCATATGTGATGCTGGGAATTGAACCCAGGTCAGTCGTGTGCAAGGCAAATGCCCTACCTGCTGTGCTATCGCTCCAGCCCCATGAACATGATTTTTTCCCCATCAGAATGACTTGACTTTCTATCCATGATTTACTGCTCATTCACTGCTGGGACCTGAGAAGGCAGGGAGCTTGCCTTGCAAGTGGCCAACCCACTTTTGAACACCACATATGGTCCCCTGAGCCCAGTTAGGGATAATCTGAGTGCAAAGCAAAGTGTAAAGCTCTGAGCACTGTTGGGTGTTGCCCCCCCCCCAACCAAACAACCAAACACAAAATAGAAAGCAATGCAAACAAAAGTTAAAAAAGTGCACAACTCATTCATTCTCAGTGACCTTATTAACCTCCGTGTCATTCTTTTCTGGAACAAGAAGTTTGTGGCACCTGTTGTGTTCCAGGCACTATTTTAGGCCCTTGAATAATAAGCATTATCCAAATAGACAATAGAACCCATATGAAGATAGGTCATGGTAAGTACTAGGAAGGAAAAGGAACATGAGGAAACGAAGAGTGATCAGGTAAGTTTTTTAGATAGGTGAGTTTTCTGAGGAACTGTATTTTGAATAGATTGAATATGAATAAATTTGGGGTGATTCATGCAATTATCTAACAGAATAACTTTTCTGGCAGAAAACATCAAATGACAAGCTTTAAGGCAGGAGGATGCTTTGAGAGGCTAGTGTGGGGTGAAAAAAGAGAAAGTATGGGGACATTTTATAGCCCAAACCATGAAATAGTTATTGTTTTAAAAATACTGGTCAAACATAGTATCGGGTTATAAATTTAGAAAGGTAGGCGGAGGACATTTTAGAAGGGATATAACAAGGAGTAAAACTTTAATTGTCAGTAAGGATATTGGAAGGTTTCGAGTAAGGGAAGAATAAAATGTGAGCTGTGTTTGGGGAAGATTAATGTAGCAGTGGAAATTGGAGAGTGCAGAGATATGATAGCAGGGAGATCAGACTGAGAATTGTTGCAGCATTTTAAGTTAAAAGGCCCTGTTTAGTAAGAACTAAATGGAGGGTATAGATTAGGGTGAGAGACTGTGCAAATAGAATGTATTACCCTCAACAAATGATTATAAAGGTCAAAGGAAATTTACGAGTCAATAATGCCTGAAATTTCATGCTGGGGTGAGTGACATGTTGGTGATATGATCAATCATAAAGAAGGCAGGAGTAGGAGTTTTTAAAATAAAAATTTCAGTTAGACATGTTA